ACGGAAGGAGGCAAAAAAGTGGAAAGGACAGGATGTCACGTCTCAGAGAAGTAAAGCACGGAGAGACGTGATTACGTCGACAAGAATGCTCAAGAATTGGTTCACCTTTATGCACCATCTGACATATCCGAGGAGAAGAGGGTGAGCATCTTAAAAGGTAAGGCCACCTTGACACCTCAAATTTTATTGAAAATTTTTTTCTATTAAAAATACACTGTGCAAATAAAAAATTTGTTTGGGCGTTTATTAATACTACATTCAAGAATATAAAAAATATTTTTTAAAGTTTTTAATATAAATATTAAGCGCGTGACGGCCATTTTTTGTACATAAAACGGTGTGCACGATTACTCCGCAGTGGTGAGGCTTGGAACAAAAAACCAAAAATATTTATTTTCTACATGATGAAAACTAGTAGCGTACGTAGGATTTTTGCAAAATCTTAAAAATTTTCACCGCTATCGCTTTTTTTCAAATCTTTTATTCAAATTTTTTAAGCGAAAAATGACTTTTTTCAAATTGTAGTCATTTTAATAAAAATGCATATTTCTCAAAACGGCTACGTACGCTACTAGTTTTCATCATGTAGAAAATAAATATTTTTGATTTTTTGTTCCAGGCCTCACCACTGCGGAGTAATCGTGCACGCCGTTTTGCATGCCGAGCAAAAAACCATGTACAAAAAATGGCGCTGCTAAGTTTCAAAATTACAATGCACCTTAAAGTAACATTAATTAATTTAAACACAAAACATATTTTAACTGTAATGAGTTTAAAAGTAACAATTTAATTTTAATATTGTTAGAATATTATTTAGCAGCGCTCCCAGTTTTTTTAACTAAAATTTTTTTATTTCTTTTTCACATGGCGCATGGACTTGGCATCTTGTTTATCTTTTTTTTTTAAAGATAAGTTTTTTTATGGTACGATTCTACATTTGCAAATTTAAATTTTTACTGATTCATTATACGACTCTATATATGTCTGCAACTTTAATTTTCCACTGGTACAAGTTTCTACTTTCACTTGGCGCAATTTTTTTTTATTTCATTACTTTTGTTACGATTGTACATGGGTTTATAATCGATAATTTTTCATACAATTCTATTGTACATGGGTTTGCAATGTAGGATTCTACATAAGTTTGCAATGGATAATTTTTAATACAATTCTACATGGGTTTGCAATGGTTAATTTTTCATAGGATTCTACATGAGTTTGCAATGGTTAATTTTTCATAGGATTCTACATAGGTTTGCAATGGGTACGATTCTACATGGGTTTGCAATGGTTAATTTTGCCTAGGATTCTACATGGGTTTGCAATGATTAATTTTTCATAGGATTCTACATGGGTTTGCAATAGGATAGGATTCTACATGGGTTTGCAATGGATAATTTTTGTTAATGGCGTGCCCTTAACTGGTCGCCTTTTTTTACCTTTTTTTAAAGGTGAGTTTTTAGAGATTATATCATTCATTTTTGTATATTTTTATGACCGGAATAGAACAATTATTAAACATGTTTATCTAAACTTCTTTGCTTAAAATGATGTGTACAATCATATCCTAGAATCCTGATCATTCCTCCTAAAGCACCCTATTTATATAAATTTACCCATATGTGTGTGTGTGTGTGTGTGCTAATGTCGAGCATTTTTTATACATTTTCTATTAAATTTAGATAAAAGTTGCAGGATTTCGAAAAAGAAAAAGTTGACACTTTTTCCTAAACGGCGATTTTCAAGGTTATTTAAAGGTCACTTATATTTTCAAAATAGAATTACCTTAATTTTTCTCATATAAATCGATTCCTCGCAATATTTACTATAAAAAGTTGTAAAGGTATAATTTTTACATAATCTTACATAAACTTCGAAATATTACAAATATTTTATTTTATGAAATATTTCAGTTTATGTAAAATTATGTTAACTATCTTTTAAATTATTCACTTTTAGCCATCTTACCCTTACAACCTTTTATAGTGAATATTGCAACAAATTGGTTTATATATATAATATATATATAACATCAGTTATTATTAATTGATGTTTACATTTATTTTTAGACTTACTAGAGCTCAAATGCTCCACATTTTTTGCAAAAACTGTTTATTCTACAGATTTCAAATATGCTTTTAAATGATGATTGAATATTTCCTTTTTTTAATTATTTTTATTATTATTTTTCAATTTCAATCAACTTTTATAACTTTATGCCAGCACGATACAAATACATGTGTCTTTATTTTTTTTATTATTTTCATTATTATTTTTCAATCTCAATCAACTTCTATAACCTTATGCCAGCAGGATACAAATACATGTATGTCTTTATTATTGTATCAACTCTTGTCTTTTCCATGTACCCATACAGCACAGATTATTGCAATTATATTGTAGCAACGTTGCAATGTTGCAAGTTGCAATGCAACATTATAAAGACATTGCAGAAATATAGGTGCACAAAATTCCAGCACACTTGTAGCAACATGACATTAATATTTCGGAAATATTGCATGTAATCCAAATTCTATTATTTATATATTGTAATATATATAAATTAACTACAACGTATTTTCATTAATGATTTATTTACATGTATATATACCTGTATATGCAACATTAGATTATGGTTGCAATAACAATGCATTATTGCAAATTCATAACATTGCAATATTGTTGTAATATTTTGTTGCAATCTTCCAAAAAGCGGACATTTTAACATTGCTGCAATTCAACAGCAATGATGTAGCAACATTTTGCAGTGAATTTGCAATATTGCAATATTGCGGTGAAAGATTGTTGTAATGTTTTTGCAATCTATCGGTGCTGTATGGGTAACCATGTCTTCATAGTTTGAATTATCCCTTCATCTTCTCAATCTTTCGCAGAGATTTAATTAATTAAATACACTTCACACGAAATAAAGTTTGCTGGAAGATATACAGCAAACGATAACTGTAAAAACATGATTACGTGGAAAGAACAAGAGTTGGTACAGTAAAGGCAAGTAAGTAAGTACATGTAATGTATCGTATTGGCATAACGCTATATCCGCGGAGCAGATAATGTGGCTGTAGAGGTAGTCTGCAGTGCAGCTAATGTGGACGTAAATGTTGATTGAGATAATTGTCTAATATAAAATAGAATTTAAAATTTTAGTTTAAAAAGCTGTTGCATATATAAATAAAGTTTATTTTTTCTAAATTTGGAATATGTTTAATTAATTAATTTTTTAAGTCTATGTTTAATAAATTTTTTAAGTCTGTATTCAATAATTTTATTCATTTGATAAATACATGTATGTCTTTATTTTGATATGTTTAATATAATTAGATGTTTAATATGTTTAATATAATTCATTATTAATTAGATATGTAAACTATAAATTCATATATAATATTTGAAAATATATGTGAATATTTAAATTTTTATCTTCTCCTTCCTCTCCTTCAATCTCTTTAATATATCAATATGTGTATGTGTGTACACGCGCGCACATTTGTACGTATTTATTTAATTATTGGATAGTTGAGAGTACTTAATTGATAAAAAATTAAGACAATAATAATCCTTGTTTTTTTTTCTTATTATTTACTCAGATTTTTTTGTCTATCTTATAAGATAAACACTTTAGAGATTGAATATTTCAAGTAAATTGTAAGTAAATTTCACATTAATACATATAGATGTTTAATCATGAATGTACTAAATAAGTACACAAGACGAACAGTGAGTGAGTGAGTGAGAATGAGAGAGTGTGTGTGTGTGTGCGTGTGTGTGTGAGAAAGAGAGAGAGAGAGAGAGAGAGAGAGAGAGAGTTAGCCAACATAACCCCGCACGCTGCCGATCATGAATGTACTAAATAAGTACACAAGACGAACAGTGAGTGAGTGAGTGAGAATGAGAGAGTGTGTGTGTGTGTGCGTGTGTGTGTGAGAGAAGAGAGAGAGAGAGAGAGAGAGAGAGAGAGAGAGAGAGAGAGAGAGAGAGAGAGAGAGAGAGAGAGAGAGTTAGCCAACATAACCCCGCACGCTGCCGATATGGCGGAGCGTCACTATCGCCATCTGTTGTAAAACGTGCGAGATGGACAAAATTACCACTACATGCATCTTGCATGTGTTGTGTACGTGTGATATATGTGTACGCATGTGTTGTATACGTGTGAATACGTGTAGCACGATACTACTATGTATGCGTGGTCGATGATGATAATGATGATGATAATGATGATAATGATGACGGGGACGTTTCTTAATAGAAATTTTTCATATTTCGACTTTGCATTTATATATCTCTGCTTACAAATCACGTAGAGCAGAAATAAAGACACTTTTATTATATAATTCGAACTCAATCTATCGATTAAGTCTAGTATAAACTCGATTGCTTCAGCCATTATTGAGGATTCGAAATATTATAAAGACTCAAATGTCCGACTCGCGTTAAGATACACGGTGTCTCCGCTACGCCCTTAACTGGTCGCGAGACACTACCGTGTCTCTTGATGGATAAGCTCGTTAAATAGAGAGTCGCACATAACCCTTAGTCCCCCCCCCGTACCAAAGGTCGAGGATAGTGTAATGCATTTTCTATACGCTAAAGAAAATGGAAGCTTCTCATTTCCTCCCTGCACCTTCCACCTCGGAAACTATTTCAGAGATTTATGTTCTTACAATTAGTTTTAAATCAAAAATAGATTTTTGTGTGAGTTAGATTTTTCGTAAGATATTTAAATGATATTCTTATATTATCATTTAAATATCTCGAATACATTTATACAAAAAATCTGTACAGATCGCTGCAATGCAATTATTTAATTGTAAATTGTAAGGTGTTTCCAAACTTGTGGAAGATACTGTTTATTTTGCTATTCTTCAATAGTTTTTCTTAATGCTACAAAATGCCACCATCGATAATAAAATAACCATCATCAATAATATAACTTGCTTAAAATTGGATTATAAACATTCTCTAAATTTGAAAAGAGTTTTTACCTCTTATGACTGGAGCAAGATTGGTACGCAAGGTCAATATTGAATGAGATAATTGACTGTTTGTTGCTAATGCATTCTCTTGTATATAATTTTCTGGAATTATTACTTTAGATACAATATCCGTTGGATAAGATTGAGTAATCTGAAATCATAATACAAAACATACACACATATATGTACATTGTATATCATACACGTTGAGCAAAAAGTATCGGACCGGCTAAATATATCAGCATTATTGAATCCTATATCAAAAACCATAGACCAAATTAAATGGTTTAAAAAAGGGACTTGATGGTGACCTTGAACTTGCCCTTAAGATCAAATTTAAAGGTCACTTAAAGGTCAACTCAAATTTTTTTAATTGAAACCCCCATTTTTTATTACATAGTCTTGTAGTTGAAATTGAGTCGTTTGCAAAACACTATAAATGTTGTTTCATCAAGCACTTTTCAAGTTATGAAACTTCAAAGTTACAGTGGTATATAATTAGTGGTAATTAATAAAGTTTTCGGTAATCATACTTTAATCTTTTTTTGCACGGAATAATAGAACCAATCAATTGGTGTAAAAAAACACATAGTTGCTTATAAAAAAAGTATGCATGTTGAATATGACATATATTCTTTTTAAAACAATTATCTGTTTTCTTATCTGTATACTTAATTGATTAATCTTATTATACTGTGCAGAAAAGTATTAAGGCATGATTATTGAATATTTTACAAGATATTTTACATTTTATATAAAAAAATTGTTAGTTTCAAACATTTCCCAGCAAACACCGATATATAATTGTTACATTGCTATAATAAAACAGAATATAACAGGTAATAACGTGTACGTTACATGTAATATCCATGTTAGTTGTAATTTCCCACTCATAGATGTAACATTTCAATATAATATATATTACATTGTAGTTATATTGTAATTATATACCAAATAGCACATTGATGTATTGCTAAGTCAGTGCTATCTTGGGATATAATGACAATATAACTACAATGTAATATATGTAATATTAAAAATGTTACATCTATGAGTGTGGGAAATTACAACTAACATATACGTTACATGTAACATGCTTGAGTATATAACATTTATATATTGTGTTTGCTGGGTTATAACTCAAAAAGTACTCCATGAAAAAATACTTTATTATAAGGTTTTGGAAAGCTGTTAAAATAACCTACAAGAATACGTAATGAAAAATAGGTAGTTCCATTTAAGGGTCTTCTACAATGGATATCATAGGCTGTAGTCGTAAGAAATTAACAAATCATAGTCGATTATTTCAAAAATAATCGATTGTGATAGGTTAATTTCTTACGACTACCACCTACGATACTCCATTGTAGAACGGCCTTTAAAGCTGTTCGCACATACTTTCCGTAAGACGTAACGTAAGGTTTTGACCAATCAAAATTTCAACATGTTGGAATTCTACTGCTACTGTTACGTTTTACGGAACGCGATTGGTCGAAACCTTACTGTTATGTCTAATGGAAAGTATGTGCGACTAGCTAAAAAATTGAAGTTGACCTTCACGTGACTTTCAAATGACTTTTTAAGGTCAAATCGTAAAAAATATCCCTTAAAAGTATGTCCAAATATATTGTAACTACCTCTTACTCTAGTTTAGTAAATACTCAGTAAGCAAGAAATATTTCATCAACATTTTATAATATTGATTTTATATAAATTTTCTAAACATTATGATATAATGTTGTATAAATATGTTTAAAATATTATTAATTAATATTCTAAAAAATAGTTTAATTAATGTTTTATAAATGTTTTAAAAATATTATTTAATAACAATGCTCAGAAAAAAAATTAATAAAATATTTTAAAAACGTTAATTTCAACATTACTGAAACCTCTAAATCAATGTCAAAGTTTGTTCATAATGATGTTGCATACCTAGCAAACACAGTATATAAATGTTATATACTCAAGCATGTTACATGTAACGTATATGTTAGTTGTAATTTCCCACTTATAGATGTAACATTTTTAATATTACATATATTATTATACATTGTAGTTATATTGTCATTATATCCCAAGATAGCACTGACTTATCAACACATCAATGTGCTATGTAGTATATAATTACAATATAACTACAATGTAATATATGTTATATTAAAATGTTATATCTATGAGTGGGAAATTACAACTAACATAGATGTTACATGTAACGTACACGTTATATTACCTGTTATATTCCGTTTTATTATAGCAATGTAACAATTATATATCGGTGTTTGCTGGGATACATTAAAAACTACATATTTGACAACAATAATAACGTGTAGCAATGATTTTTTGCTTACTGGGTACCCTACTCAATTTTTTCAGATTAACATAATTCAGTGAACAATTATCGTATCAAGTCCCGCCAAAGCGCATTTTAAAGAGAAAATTTTGAACTTTTATGCGCTTTTATATATATCCCATTGAACCATGTCAATTGATTCACTCTGTGCAATTAGAAAAGGTCAAGCGGGGAGCACACACTTTTGTATAAGCACATAAGCATATGCATAAGAAATTCAATTGGTTGCTCTCCGCTTAAACCTTCTATTAATCAGTTTTGCAGAATCTCATTCTGTCAAACGCTATTGCAAAACTGATCATTTCACGTAATCAACACTGAATCTTTTCAAACTGCAAACTTAGCTTTCGTGTTTTCGAAATATTTATCATAATTATTTGCTGCGTGTTATAAGTATTCAGAGTTTCATAACTTTTTCTACTTTTCTACTGCTTTTTTTAATCAAATGTTGTAAACACCTTGTATATAATATTCAACTATTTTGAGACATTCAAAACTTGTTCCAATAATACCTGTGCATCTAGAATAGCCGCTGTTCGATGAAGTACACCATTTTCCGCTTTTAGGCCCGCTATTTCTGCTTTGCAGCGTTTATATACCGTACTTTTAGTTTTCAAACGATTGATATATTTTTTTAATTCCTCTGCTCTAGGAATCGATGTTTGTAATAAGTTCTTTGAATAATCTTGCTTTTCTTTTAATCGTAATTGTAATTCCTCTAAAGAACTTTCAATCTTCTCTAAACGTTCAAGAGCATGACGTTTCATATTTCCAACAGCGGCAGCTTGTTGTCTAAATGGCTCCATTTTATCAATATCGTTTTTAGATATCTGAAAATAAATGTTTGCAAGGAGTAAAACTTTTGCCAAATAATAATATTATCGTAGATATAATTCCTTATACAGAGTGTAAAACATATACATATATGAAACACATCATCTTTGCTGGCTAATTTAGAGATGATTTTTTCTTAGTGAAAATGCCGAGACCAATAATTTTCAACTTATAAATAATTGAAAAAACTTTTCGCAAACTAAATTTTGAATTAAAATATTAACAAAACTATGTTCTTCAATTAATTTCAGATAGAGTTTACTTTAATTCAATTTTAATGTAAGGTTTAATTACAAAGTTACAAAGATACTTTATGGCAAAAATTGAGAACATCCAAGTAAGTAATGACTTTCTTTGACATTTTCGTAGAGGAAAAATTGGCCAAAGAATCTGATGACATGCTTCATTTATATATTTTTCACAGGATCAGTTTTTTTAAATAATCGACCAAACTAGCCAAACTTTGTTTATTCAAATTACAAGGTTTCAACCATGGTTGTGGTCCTTATCAAGTACAAAATTCTAATGAAAAGTTAACTTAACTACAATTAATATTTTTTCAATTACATTCTGTATATTTGATATACAAAGTGAGTCTTTTAATAAATACACGTAAATATCTCATAAAGTAAGCAAGATTTAAAAAAATGTTTTATATACAAAAGTTGTAGGGCTCAGAAAAGGACATCTGATAATAAACTTGAACCTAACCTTGGAGTCCAATTTAGAAATCATTTCAAGATCAACTTAAGTTTTTAAAATGAAACTCCATTTTTCATTCTTGTAGCTTATCTCGAAAGCTTTCTAAAACACTATAATGAAACATTTCTTTATTAAGTACTTTTTAAATGATAAAGGTTTAAAGTTAAAAATTTTTTACATAAAATGTAAAATATCTTGTAAAATATTCAATTTTCGTAATCATGTCGGTAATCATACCTTAATACTTTTATGCACGGAATAATGAGACCATTCAATTGATGTAAAGAAAACACATAATTGGCTTATATAATTAATATATAATTATAAATGTATATAATTTAACATATTTTTTTAAAAGCAATTACGTCCCATCAAACACAGTATATAAATGTTATATACTTAAGCATGTTACATGTAACGTATATGTTAGTTGTAATTTCCCACTCATAGATGTAATATTTTTAATATTACATATATTACATTGTAGTTATATTGTCATTATATCCCAAGATAGCACTGACTTATCAATACATCAATGTGCTATTTGGTATATAATTACAATATAACTACAATGTAATATATGTTATATTAAAATGTTACATCTATGAGTAGGAAATTACAACTAACATGGATGTTACATGTAACGTACACATTATATTACCTGTTATATTCCGTTTTATTATAGCAATGTAACAATTATATATCGGTGTTTGCTGGGTTTTCAATGCTCCGATTGACGTGGAGTGCTTCGGTGCGTGATTGTTGAGATGATATAAAATAGTGTAATGAAAAGAAATCGTTCAAATAAAATAAACTAGTATAATTAATAAGGCTTTGCATTATAACTCCCGCGAATCAAATTAGCGGAAAAATTGATCGGTGTTGTATGAATTTTACTGGCGTGTGCAGAAGGCATTAACTCATTTGTCCATGAATAATTTCAATCAAAATAAAAAAAAAAGAATGACTAAATTAATCAGAATTGTTTAAAATGCGTTAATAACGGAAATCATAATGCAAAGCCTTATTAATTACACTATTTTATTTTATCTCGACAATCTCTTTTTATTACACTATTTTATATCATCTCAACAATCACGCACCGAAGCAGTCACGTCAATCAGAGCGTTGAAAAAAACAATCGACTGTGTTACTAACAATCGTTTTGTTTTGGGCAGGGTTATATGCAATCTCAAACAATTGAAGCTTGATTAACTTCACACAGGTAAACTCGAGTCCGCTCAAGGCCGCACGCGAGTCTATGCGAAGCTACAGAGTACTTGTCTGCCTAACAAAAAAATTTATAAAAAATTCCCAAATTTTCTGCGTAACTTTGATTTAGTCTTAAAACTTTTCTAATATTCCCCAGAATATTCCCTATAAATTTCAAAAAAAATAGAAAATGAAGTTTTTGAAATATTTAAATTTGTATGTATTTTTTTACTCTATTTGTTCAAAAATATTATGAAAATTTTTAGTAATTTTTTCCCTAAAATATGATCAAAATAGTGCATTTTATATTTAATGAATTTTTTTTTTAGACGGTGTCTAGACGAAAAAATTCATTGAAAATTTTGTAGTTTTTATTTTGCACTCTAATTCAAAAACGCTACATTTATTATAGAAACGCTCTTACATGAGTAATATCACTTGTAAAGACTTGTTAAAAAACGAACTGCCATCAAAAATAAAAAGGTCGAGGTTTAACCCCTGACGAGTTGGCGTGGAATGCCCCCTATGTAATGAAAAATAGCAAGTTCCATTTAAGAAATTGAAGATGATCTTTACGTGACTTTCAAATGATTATACAAGGTCAAATCAATAATACCATATTATGTTCCTCTCGAAGTAAAAAAACTTTTGTTTAAAATATTTTTTACCATATTGCTTACTATAATCTTACTATAATCTTTATATATTTGAGCGTTTTTTTTCACACTTACTTTAGATTCTATTAAATCTTGTATGTTTTTTAATATTATATCCAAGGCATTTCTCATGGTCAGAATTTTATCTGGACCTAAGTAAGAATATTCCTTGACCATCGACAAAGCTTTCATCCAATTTTTCTTTGCGTTCAATTCAGATGGAAGTTTTTCTTTCACAATCGCAGATTGCACCGTTACTTCTTCTGTTAAATGTTGAATTAATATTTGCGGTGTGAGTCCAATGCTATCGCGTTTCGATGCGTGTAACTCGCGTTCAACTCGTTGAAGGGAATTCTAAATAATAATAAGAATAATTATAAAGAAAAGTACAAATAATATATTTATAGAAATAAATTGTAAGTATTATGTATTTCGTAGAGTGTTCGATTTTGCAATGTAAACTTTTTAAAGCTTTCTTTATCAATAAAAATCTTTATATTTTGTACATGTTTTATATGTACATATATCACTTCATAGCTCAAAATTGTCTTTTTATATCTGCATATTTATTTTCATATAAATAAATGATTTTTGCGTACTTTTTTTATATAAGTAGAAATAAAGTGATCATAACGTTGCAGTAGTTGCACGAAACATTAATGCTGCATTCAGTAAAAACTCTGTCAACGAACGCATCAATATAAAAAATTTAAATCTGGAGACAAAAACCTTCACAAATGACAATCGTAGATCTGAGACTATTGTTGATGACATTAAAGGTAGAGACATTAAAAGTTGAAGTAAATTTACATCAAACTGTTAGAAATGTATAAAATAATTTTTACTTTGATTCTTATTTAATAGTATATTAGCTAACACGTGCGGGAAATCGTAAATTGGCCGAGAGTTTGGCGCACGAGGCAAAGCCGAGTGTGACAATCCGCACGATCGGCCGATTTATGACCCGCACATGTTGGCTACGATATTTTGTGTGACCGGTGCGTGGAAAGGGAGCCCTTTCTAAAATCCCATCATGTGCGTAAAAAGCAACTTTTCGCCGGTTGCACAAAAAATATTATATTTCTTAAAATTTTTTATTAAAAAATATTTTTAATACAAAAAAATACGCAAACATCATGTTTATATTTATATTGAAAATAATGTTGAAAAAAGTACATTCGAAATCAATTAACTGAAGAATAAAATCATGCAGATATAGAAAGGCAAATTTTTAGCTTTAAAATGATATATAAAACATGTACAAATATAAAGAAATTTATTGACAAAGACAACTTTAAAAAGATTATGATTAAGATAGAACAATCTAATATAATACACTGTCTGTCCAAAAAATTCCGGGACTGATTTTTTTTCCCGGCTTATAAATGATGCCATCCGTTGACAACTGCGGATAATCTTTTAGTAACAACTCAGCTGCGTATACGTGCATTTTGAGTACCCAATTTCGACCATTCTATAATAGGCTTGTGAATTTTTTGTTTTGTTGTCTATAAAAAAATATTGTGATGAAATAGAGAATAGTGATCAAATTAAATTTTTAAATCGGTAAAATGGTTACGGAAATGTACGAGTTGAAAATTGCTTATGGTGATAACTGTTTATCATCAAAATGATGGGCGGAAAAGATTTTTTCTTGCACGATAATGCAACAAACCTGATCTAGCTTCGTATGACTTTTTCCACAATTCAAATAAATTCAATTGCACATAAAAGATGAACGTTATGACAACATTAAAGGTATTGAAGCCAATGTGATGTGCAAATTAAGGAGAATTTCAAAAAAAGCATTTTCAAACAGCTTCCAATGGTTATATAAACGTTTTAAACGTTGTATGTTGGGGGAGACTATGTAAAATACTTAAAATTAAAAATAAATCTAAATCACTAGAAAGGCGTAAAAGAGCCATACGCGGTTGTTACTGCGCACATTTCCAACGAAACAAAGTTTTCGTTGGAAAATAAACCGTGCATAAGGCACGTGTTATTCTCGGTATCTTTTTAAGCGATAATCCCGGAACTTTTCGGACAGATGGTGTATGTTCACAAAGGTTCTATTTTTTGCAAGAAATATGTACTTGTAAATTGATAATAGTATCTTTCTCTTGCTCCTTTTCCAATATTAAATCGCGTTCTTTATCTCTTTCTATTCGTAGTAATCTGCAGGCGTTCAATAGATGAAGAGCAGGTTCAGCCTTTGATTTGATTTTACCAATACGCGCAGTCACTGCCTATATTTAGTATTATAAAAAATACCAACATTATGTATATTACAACAAATACCAATATTAAAAATACCATTATTACAAATATATCAATATTAAATACCAATATTATAATAATAATAAGAATTTTAAAGCTCTTGATTTTAAATATACTACTAAAAAAGGAACTTTTTCTATCCTAAAAATTACGCTATTTTTAAAATTTTCCTACTTTTTTTTACCGAGTTGCACGATTTGGTGACTAAATCTGTATTTTTCTGAACAAGAAAAATGTAAAAAATTTGTAATATCATCGACACCGCGTTAAAGTTAATATTTCAAACTTTAAGATGCTTTTTAATTTTCAAATAAAAGGACGTAATTCGCCAGTCTTTTTAATTTTGTATACGATGATTTCTCGTCAAGTATATCGACATCGTCTCTAAACAAATATAGATTTAGTTTAAACAAAAATTTTAAATAAAAATTTTTTTTATTTTAAAAATAAAAGCGATTTATATAGGCAAACTGTATAGTTTATAAAACATGAGTAGAATTTTTGGAGAGCAATTTTTTTATTGGGGTACAGAATGTCAAAAATATATAATATTAAAGAACAAAACAATGTGACCTTTTTTTAAAGCACAAAACGGAAAGATAAAAAATTTTTAAAACACAGAACGGAAAGATAAAAAAATTTTTTTAATTACCAATTTCGCGTCAAAGTTAAGCTTCAAGATGCTTTTTAAATTTTCAGTTTGCGATGATTTTTTGCCGAGTTTCAGTAGTTCGAAAATAGCAAAATTTTTAGGATAGAAAGTTTTTTTTTAGTAATTAATGTAGGAATTATATTTTTGTACAATTATACAGAGTGTCCATAGTAATAATCACTGGTTCTCTCATGTGCAGATTAAATTAAGAGAGTTTTTTTATTGTTTCGCGATCTTCGCAAATTAATGAGAAATTAATTTTCATAAAAAAATTTAAATAAGAAATATTTTTATCGGCTCTCAGTATTAATAATAATATAAATATAAAATTTTTGAAGTTCCATATATAAATTAATCTCGAAACTTACATATGGAGAAATAGGCGCGAAAAATATAGGTCCGAAAAGTCGCTGAAGTGGGAATCGAACCCGCGTCTTTCACTTTCCGGGCGACTGCTCTTACCAACTAACTTTTCGGACCTATATTTTTCTCGCCTATTTCTCCATATGTAAGTTCGAGATTAATTTATATATGGAACTTATAGTAATCTCAAACCAAGAGATACAGTTCCGAAGAATTAATTTTTCGCGCTTGGGCTCTATGAACGAATTTAAAAATTTCATATTTATATTATTAAAAAATTTAATTTAAAAATTAAAAATTAATTTAATTTAAAAATTTCTTTAAATTTTCAATTCTGAAAAAATTTTTTATTTAAAAAATAAACCAATTTGCGTAACGAGAAACACTATTGTTTTATCGGACACTCTGTAATTAAAATTTTTATCTATTAATTACATACTTCTTTTTCCTTTTCCATTGCTTGTAGATCCGTTGCAAGTTCGACAGCAGTTTCAACATTCTACATAAATAAGAACCATTATTTGTATGTAACAAAAATAAAAAGAACCTATATACTCCTACTGATACGCATATACATCTAATGATTACACACCTTCTTTCCTATTTCTCTTTCTTTATGAACTGTCTTAAATTTATCAACCAAGGACATGTACTGTTCGTATAAAAGAGATATTTCCGAGTCTCCTAAATATTCTGGTGGAATTTCTATCTAATAAAAACAAATTTTTTCTCTATTATGTACAATTATACGTTGACAATTTACTACTTTAAACGTGTGTTACGTTTGATGAACAATTTCAATATATTACCTTGACAAGAAAGCGTGATAAATACGCTCTTTTCTTAACCATATCAGTATGCTTCAAGAGCCATGTCAATATAGGATGAATAATTTCAACTTCACCTCGAACTAAACCTTGTCTAAAAAATTTACTTTTTATGGGTTTCTGTACGTAGCTAGATGTATTAAGTATAAATTACATGCATTCTAATTATATAAAAAATATTTTAATAAATTTCTTTACTTTAATAAATTTCTATTCTATTAAAATACGGATTAAACCTGATATAATTAAATATGTTATAATACAAAATCAAAAAGCTTTAAGATATTAAATAACTAAAAAAAAAAACAAGAACAGGTTAATTAACATTTTTGCCGTATATCTTTTTTTTAATTAATTAAGTTCAAATTAATTAAAATAAAGTTTAATCTAAAAATTGAATGAATTTGTTTAAGTATTTCCAACGTAGAACATGGAAAAAATAAATTGTCACTTTTGAAAATGTCTTAAGTAGAAAAAATTAAAAGTTATTGTATACGTATTGTATATAATGGTCCGTACAATTTTTGAGACGTTTTCGAGAATTAAAAAAAAGTAATATAATGAAAATTAATCTATGTTACGCGCAAACTATCACATGAAATAAAAAAATTTAAGAAACTTTTCATAAAAAAAATCAATGTCACTTTGAATTTTTTAAATAAACCATCATATATTTTTATATAAAACAATTCTTCATAATATTTTGCATAAAAAGTTATAATGGTAAAATTGTCAAAAAATGAATAATTTAAGAAATATTTGATACTTTAATTTGACATAATCTTACTTAAATTATAAAGTATATATATATATATATATATATATATATATATATATATATATATATATACATATATATATCTCAAAAAATATTCATTTTCCGATAATCTTACTTCAATACTAAAGAAAACACATAATTACTTTTAAAAAAAATATGTAGCTATAGGGTATAATATAGTTGTAAATTATATTTTTTTACAAATAATTGTATTTTTGTGTTACACCAACTAATTCCTTTCATTATTTTATGCATAAAAGTATCGAAATAAGATCATCGAAAAATAAATATTTTTCGAGATCATTCGAGATTTTATAATTTATGTAAAATTATATCAAAATTGAGTATAAAATATCTCTACTAACTATTCACTTTTTGACTCACCTTTATAATTTTTTATGCAATATATTATGAAAAATCGATTTATATAAAAAATATGGTGATTCCATTTAAAAAATTCAAGATGATATTAATATTTTTATAAAAAAAAATTTTATTTAAATTTTTTATTGCATATAATATCTTGTGTCAAACATGATTTTCACTATTTAAACGTTTTTTTTAACTGTTGAAAACGACTAAAAAATCATGTGTGAACACCTTGTATGTACGTAGTAGCGTCAAAAAATTCCTAGAATAGATATTTATTTTATAAAAGAACTGTAAAAGAATATATTAAAAAGTTTTATATTATATGTTTCCTACAAAATAATATCCTTCGGCAGCTGCACATTTTTGTTAACATTCATAAAGTTAGAAACATTTCTGGAATCCATTCTTATTATTAGAAATCTTCAGCAGTTTCATCGCTTCAGCAATGTTGTCAATATTTTCAAAAACTTTATAAACGTTAGCAAAAGTGTATAGCTGCCGAAGGAAATTACTGTAAAGAAAACATAATATAAAATTTTAATATACACAGTTTTTGTAAAACAAACATATTTCGGAAACTTTTTGAAGCTACTATGTGTATATATGTATATTGTATATTTATTTTACATTCTATATTTTTAAAAAATCTATAAAAAATATAATTTGTACTAAATTATGTATAACACCTAAATGTTACGGGATCCACATCAGGCTGATAATTAAGTATTCGAAGAAGTGTTAAAATATATATAGATTGTTCTTCCGCGGAATCCAATCCAATATCAGTATCTAAACCATCTTGTTGTTGTATCTTCATTAGAACATCACATAATATCTATAAAAAATATATATTAAACCTGAAGAAAATGCTACAATAAATAATAAAGCAATTAGATACCTGCAATAAATCTTCAGCACTTAAGGCATTAAATCCAATTATATTGTAATTTCGTCTTAATAATTTATTTATTTCTGTCACTATAAACTTCACACTTTCACTCATGATGCAATAAGGTGCGTATTATTACTAAAAAGAAAATGTTTTCTAAGTTATATTACACATTTGACACACTGTAACGCTATATAAATGGCCGAATCCATCCAAACTGACATATGTTATGCTTTCAGTTGTCCTGACAACACAACGTACTATCATAATATCAATATATCGCGAATAATTATTATATCAATTAAAAGAAACATATAAAAAATATATTTTTGATTGACGCATAGTATATGTATATAAATGCCTAAATATAATAAGAATATTTTTTAATATCATGATCTATGAATATTTATAGCGCACGAATATTTTCATTTTTTTTAATTCCTTTAATTCTTACATAAATTAAATTTCGAGAATTTTATAAATAAAATATAAATATAATTTAAAAAAATATGAAATCTAAGGCTCTTATATTAAATATATAATCTTGAAAGGCTATGAATGCTAGATGGAATTAAGAAACCGCGCGCAGTTTCTTTTCTTTTAATAAGTGTATATTTTGATTAAATCTATAAATGTGTAAATATATGTCTCGATCTCTAGATTTGATTCGTACGAAAAAAATTATAAAAATACAAAAAAATTACTGATATAATATAATAGTTTTTCAATATTATATTATTGTTATTTAATTCCGTTTGATCAATCATGATGTTATACAGAAATGATTACAATATAAACGATATATATATATATATATATATATATATATATATATATTACATGTTACATGTTTATGAGTGAAATTACAATTAGCTATAGTAGCTTCTCAATAATACTTATAATCTTATATTATCTATAGTATTCAGTTTTGTTATAATCTATATATATATGGTATATCATTTACAGGGAAATTTACTCGGATTCCTTGTAAACAAATCTGCTAAAGAATAGTGCGAATATAAACGCTGTAAAATTTTAAGCACATACAGAGAAAGAATATATCCCAAAGTTGATGTACTACTTAATTGTTAACGACACATTTTTATGATCTTTTAAAAACGACTTTTTCTCATCAAAAATATCGAAGATCAGTTTTTGCAATTTCCAATTTTTACCATTATATATCTCTGTAACTAAGCCTTTAATTCAAATTCTATTAAACTTCACCTAAAAATAACTAAAGAAGTAATTGTAATCTTTTAACTTCACAAAGATTAATTTGTGAAAAATCCTTTTTTTTTCAATCGTTTATAACTCAAAGATTATAAATGTCTCGACATTTTAATTGAGGAAAAATCATCTATTCTCTAATCTAAGGAAAAACAATCGATAATCTCAAGAATCTATCATTAGTAGATGATATACTAACTTTGGAATACCTTAATGAATACAGACTGAAATCTGTTAAGAATATAATTATGCGTTATACAAGGAAACTCACATAAAAAGTGTTATGTACGAGTCAATAATACTAAAAATATTTGTCGAATCAAAAAATCGTTCATGAAAAAGTTTCATGTATTCGAGGGATCTTTCTAACTACATAAACATAAAGTCGCATCTGTTCCTTCTTCAAGTTTCTCAACTTTATAATTTCATAATAGAACGCCCTATAAAATGTTACATGTTTGGTTCTAAAGAAAATAAATCAGTAAATTTTATCTGAAACATTTGTTTAAAAAATGTTTCCATCAAAAGTTATAAGCATTTAAATATTAAAAATAAAGTGCATTTTTTCGAACTAATGATAAAACAATAAATTAATATATGTTGAGAAAATTTAGTCGAACATGGTCTATTGTTTTAACTAAGGTCGCTAGAAACGTTGAATATTGCGAGGAATCGATTTGTAAAAAAAATTCTATATAAGCATTATAGGTACTATCCGCGTTCAGTTCCTTAAGCCTTTAATTTCACATTTATATTTAATATATATACAGCCTTGAAATTCTTATTATATAATATAAAAACAGGAAATCTATATCAACTAATAAAACTTCATTAATAAAATTTCAACTATAAGTGCAATATGATTATATAATACAATATATTACTTTATTTTAATTACTTCTTTCCATATTATTTTTTATTTTTTTATAGAAAAAATATCGCACGTTAAACTTATTAACGTACTAACTTGTAATATATTTTATTTTTGACAGTCAAATATCTCGATATCATGTAATTTTAGAAAAATATGTTTCAAATAAAAGTTATATAGTTTCAAGGGGGACATAAAACGGTGACAATAATTTGACCTTGGCTAATTGTTTGAAGATCATGTAAAGGTCACCTTTAATTTCTTAAATGGAACTACCATATTTTTTTATCGATTCCTTACAATATTCTGCATAAAAAGTTATAAGAATAAGATGGTCAAAAAGTGAAAAGTTTACAAGATATTTTATATTTTAACGTGACATAATCTTACATAAACTATAAAATGTGTCATAAAATATTCATTTTCCAATGAAAATATGTAATTTACAAATAGCAGTTACATATTTTATTTACTTTTTCCTTAAAAACAATTTTCTTTACATTAATCAATCCCTCTCATTATTTTGTGCATAAAATAGATAAAATTATCGGAAAATGAATATTTTATGAGATATATTTTATAATATAAAAAACTTTATTATATTAATAACTTAATTAATAAAACTTAATTATTAAATATATCAAGTTTTTAAAAATGTTTTTATAATTCGAAATTATTTATTTTCTCCACAGAGGCAGCACAAGGCACAAAGAGTTAAATTCTGTTTGTCGTTAAAGAAGCTAAGCAAGGAAGACAAGGTAGGATTTCAACACAATAAACATTGAATTTGTTCTTGTAACTATGTACTATTATTTATTTGCCTATATTTGTAAAAGATATTATTTACATACATCGTAATTATATATTATTGAATATTATACAAATCAATTATATATTGTTGAATATTATCACAATTTTCGTTAAATTTTGTGATAAAATTAAACATTTTTTATTTGCAATTTGATAAATAAAAACTTAAAAGAAAAATTAGATAGAGGAATTAGAAAGACATCTTCAATGATAAAACGAAAAGTATACAGAAGAAATAACATACATATATAATTGCTGCATCATAATATTTAGAAATTGCACATCTTTCCCACTGAATAAAAATTATATTATTCTAAAACATCACCAATTAAAAAATATATAGAGTACATACTACCTTTTCAATCTTCAAGTACATAGAATATCAATTCAAGCACTGTATGTGCATCCTGACTGTTTTGTGCAGCTTTATGTAAAACTTGAATTAATTCATTATCTAAGCTCTTCATATAAATAGGTGGCAATTTTATACCCTCGCTTCCAGCTTCATAGCCCACCTATATATGCATTTAAAATTTAATTTAATATCATTAAAATAATTTCAATAATAAATTACAATTTCAATATACCAGGCATCCCAGACCACCCGTACATCCCTTTCCTTTCAAAAACTAAGCATTTTAGAGAAAAACGTTTTAGACAAAAATTGTATGGGTTTGAGGGAAACATAAGATGGTGCCATTGATTTAGTCTTAAAAAGTCATTTGCAGGTCACGCGAAAGTCAACTTCAATTTCTTACATGTAACTACCTATTTTTCATTACATATTCTTATAGATATGAGATTCTTATAGATATATCTATGAGATTCTCATAGATTATCTCAACAACTTTCCAAAATCCTATAATAAAGTATTTTTTTCATGGAGTATTCTTTGAATTTAAAGGTTTGAGAAGCCAACAATTTTTTGACATAAAATGTAAAATATCTTGTAAAATATTCAATTTTCGATAATCATGCCTTAATACTTTTCTGCACAGTAATAAGATCAATCAATTGGTATAAAGAAAACAGATAATTGTTTTAAAAAGAATGTAATATTCAACATGTAGCTGCATACTATTTTTATAAGCAACTATGTGTTTTTTATACCAATTAATTGGTCACATTATTCCGTGCAAAAAATTATTAAAGTATGATTACCGAAAACTGAAATATTTTACAAGATATTTTACATTTTATGTCAAAAAATGGTTAGCTTCGAACTTTTACAACTCAAAGAGTACTCCATGAAAAAATACTTTATTATAAGATTTTGGAAAGCTATTGAGATAACCTATAAGAATATATAATAAAAAATAGGTAGTTCTATTTAAGAAATTGAAGTTGACTGTGGCGATTACATCGTCACATACTTCCCTGAGATTAATAAGGAAAACACGCATACGAATACGAACACTGACATATACGAAAAGGACAAAGGCACAAATAAATATAAATAAAATATTACAGACGAGACGAAAGACGAGTAGGACAGAAACAAAGAAGTAAAAATAGATAGAAAATTCGCGAAGCCTCTCGAAGCCTAGCGAAGGGCGTTTTAGGAGGCAAGGTATAAATAGGAGATTTTTGAGATAAGGATATACCGTCTTCGATAGTCGCCGCGCACGGACGCATCACGTTTGTAATCCGAGCGATATATCTATCTGTATTCACGCGTACCATTTTGCCTGGAAGAATATATTTAGTTAAGTACAATCATTGCATAACTTTAATTAATTCCCGCATCGTTCCTTCTAAGTATCCGCGACGCGCGAAAGAGTCGCTAAATTGACTTTCACGTGACCTTTAAATGACTTCATAGCCAAATCAATGTTCCAAAATCTTATGTTCCCCTCAAAACCATACAATATTTTTCTCTAAAATGCTTAGTTTTTGAAAGAAAAGGGGTGTACGAGTAGTCTGGGACACTCGGTATATAAATAAATATAAATTAAATTAAATTTTAACTAAGATCAATTTTCAAGAGAGGTTATAGTCTAATTATAATTGTATAATATATATAGTTACAATTTTTTATAATGAATTGAACTCTAAAAAGCTATAAATATAAACTTACATTGTCTGAGTGAATAGTTGCTCGCACTCCAAGCTTCGTTAAACCTGCTGTCGCCAAAAGATCCAACAGTTTAACCAATGCCGTACATGTTGCCTTCGCTATGTTTCCAGACAGTTTATTTATGTCTACAGGATCATTGACGCCATTTGAATGATCATCTGACTTTTAAAGAATATAAATATTAGTTTATTAATTATCTGCCTTATATGTGTACTTATATAATAACGATCTATTTTTTAATGTTATTATGATTTATGATACATACTTTTATAATAAATACTTCTGTCCAACGTATGAATCGGGTTGCGCCTCTATAATCGGTGCCATTATGTACTCTAATAGATGGTATACCGTCCATTAGTTGCCCATCAATGGGACTTTTGACTCTGGCAATAAAAAAATCATTAGGTTCTTAAATAATGAAGAAAAAAGTTTGCAATATATAAGGCAACATTTTTTAGCATACAATTTTAAAAATGTTGAATTCAAGAAAAAATTATTGTTTCTGAGAATTTTTATGACAATCTGATGGTTAGATTGAGTATTGGATTCATGTTTCAAGTTAGGTCTAATAAAGCCTAGGTCAATTTTTTAAATAAAATTCATTAACTTCTTTTCGCTGATGAGATTTCACGTCTTTAACTCAAACAATCTTGTGTTTTTAAAAGATTGGTTAAATTTTGGGTCTGATTAGATATTGCACAGGCCCAAATCCACAAGCTAATCAATTTTTCAAAAACACTAAACTAGATCAGAGATAAGAAATTTATGGATTCTAAAAAATTGACTTGTACCTTATTGGACCTGACATGGGACATAAATTCAACATTTAATCTGACCATCAGATTATCATTTTCAAATCTCAAAAACATGATTTTTCCTTGAAATCAACATTTTTAAGATTATACAGGGTGGTTCGAAAATCCGGCAACGGCCAATTATCTCCAAAAATAGTGGTCCTACGAAAAAATATTAAATATAAAAGTTGTACTTAAAATAAGACTTTTGTTGATGACCTTGACTTTGATCTAGGAATCAAATTTAAAGGCCATTTCAAGGCCACTTTCAATTTGTTAAATAAAATTACCTATTTTTCATTGCATATTCTTGTAGCTTTCAAGAGCTTTCCAAAATATTATAATAAAACATTTTTTCACTAAGTATTTTTTGAGTTATAAAGGTTTGAAATGAACAATTTTTTAACAAAATTTAAAGTATCTTGTAAAATATTCAGTTTTTGGTAATCATACCTTAATACTTTTATGCACGGAATAATGAGACCAATCAATTGGTGTAAAGAAAACACATAGTTGCTTTAAAAAAAATGTATGTAACTTATTGCAATACTTTTTTAAGCAATTATGTGTTTTCTTTACACTAATTTATTGGTCTCATTATTCCGTGCATAAAAATATTAAGGTATGATTACCAAAAACTAAATATTTTACAAAATATTACATTTTATGTCAAAAAGTTTTAAACTTCAAAACCTTTATAATTCAAAAAGCACTTAATGTAAAAATGTTGTTAGCGTTTTGGAAAGCACTTGAGATAAGCTACAAAAATATCCAATAAAAAATAAGGGGTTCCATTTTAAAAAATTAAGTTGACCTTGAAATTCTAAATTTGACCTCTAGGTTAAAGTTAAGGTCACCATTGAGTGCTTTATTTTAAGTTCTACAACTTTTGTATTTAACATTTTTTCATAAGACCACTATTTTCTGAGATAATTGGCTGTTTCCGGACTTTGAACCACCCTGTATTTCAAAAATTAACATTTCAATTTAAAAAAATTTTGGGCCCAAAACTTCCGATCCAAAATCTAATAACCATTTATTAGTCCTCTTTGAATTCTTTGTGTGACAATTTTTATTTGAAACATTTTTCTCTAAAATGCTTTATTTAAAATATATTTAAAGTCATCTTTAAAATGAGACACCATGTATAATCCTTTGATTATAATAAAAATCTATAACTTGTGACTTTAATGATTTTAATTAACAATTTTCAACTGCTTCCAAACTTTTGAATGGCAGTATACATTTGCAGCATTATTTTTTTTTTAATTCGGTTTAATCGGAGAATAAAAATTACCATAAAATTCGCGTACGCCTATTATTCCATATAATATTAGCTAGATATAAGATATATTGATATACAAGACATTTACCCTAAATTGAACAGCACATCGTTTTCGACCCACTTAATATTTACGGTCTCGTCCGGTTCCGGTGCTCCCTGACGTCCGCAACCGATTGAAAAATCTTGCATATTTTTAAGAGCAGCTTTCAATGCTTCCATTTTTTCTGGCATTATTTCCACCATTAATCCATCCTCTACAATACTAGATTTGGCAGAAAGTCCCATTGATGATTTCAAAGCTCCATTGATGACAATAAAACTAGCACCAGTTACTACATAATGGAAAAATATATAAATAATATCCTTTATACAAGATAACAAATAAAAATAAGTAAATCGCTTATACTTTAGCTAATATCAAATATTGTTTCTAAATTCTAACAGATTTAATTTTTATCGACGTTTATTAAGTATTTTTTATATGACTTAATGAATACTATCTATCAGGGTTGGCAGAAAACTTGTTTTTTTTTTATTTTAAACAAAAAACATTGATTCTTTTGTTTAAAATATAATATTTTTTGTTTTATACGTGTTTTTAAGAAAAAGTAAGAAAAAAACATGTTTTAAACAAGCAAAAAAAAAACATTTGATAGCTTTAATCCGTGTAAGCATTTAATATATAAAATTATATATTCTTTATTTTATTTTGACTTTATTAATTTTAAAATTTATTTAATATTAATTCAATTTATAAAAGTAGGTATTAAAAAAATCCCCAATATGCAATGACTGCATGCAGTATGTTATTGTTACCGTTCATTTTTTTGCTTACTTAAATGTATATTATTTATTTAATTAAAGGAATTACATTATTTTATTATTTGCAATAGATAAAATGTAAAATGTAATGTGTTACAATTTAGATTTTAATAGTTTATGCTTTGTCCAGATAACTTTATATGTGTAATCTTTAATATATTCAATTACATGAATTGTTACTTAATATTTAATATTCAAAAATAAATATTCTGTTAAAATATTACTTAAATAATACTTATCTTATTATTTTTAGTTCATTATTTATATTTATATTTTTAATTTTATATCTATAGGTTACATATATAAATATAGATAAACTAAAAAATTAAAACAAAAATGTTTTTACAACATGCACATCTATTAGTTTTTATTTGTTTGTTTTTCTTTACAGTTTCTTTTTCAAATAATCATATATATTAATTGCAATGTTTTACACAGTTTTATTAAACTACTGTTTTTAAACAGTAATTTAAAACTGTTCAAAACAAAAATGTTTAAAACAGTGTTCACTATTTTAAACAAGTTTTAATCAAACAACTTTAAACAAATTGTATAAAACATGCCACCCCTGCTATCTATCTTATTAACTACTTCTTTTTATCCATATATTATCAGAAACTTTATTTAAAATAGAACTCACCTGTTCTGGGCTTATTGTGAATATTTATCGCTTGTGTTTGATAATTGCTTTCGTCGCCAGTATTTGTTTGTATACAAACTAAATGTGAATCCGCGGCTATACTAAAATTTGAAGCATAAGCCAGTACGTGATCATTTGAGTTATAAAGCCCTTTTATAACTTGGTCATATCGATTTCTAGGAAACATAACGTCCGTCGTACGATTTTTCAGATGAATTGTTAAGCCTCTTACTCCTGGCAAAGTATATCCAAAATTTCTAAAATCCGCTAATACTTTCATGACCGTATGTCCAATCTCAAAGTATAACGCATCCCGAAAACGAACGGACACTAATGGGCAAGGATAATAACGATATTCCGCACCAAGACGTAAAACAAGTCTTAATGGAAATACTTTAGCCCATGGAGTTTCCCACCTAAAATAAACAGAAAATATACACAAGTCAAATGATTATAATCAAATAAATAATCATACAATTGAAACAAATTGTAAGATCAATGTGACATTAAACAAAACAAAATGTCCAATTATTATAGATATTATATATATTATATGTCATATTATAGATATTAGATATTTGTTTTAAATTAAAATTAAAGTATTTAACTTTTTTATATATATGTAATCATAACTAAAAACTATAAGAGTCGCTGTACGAGCCACGAAATATATGTTGCTTAGACATTGCTAAGACATTGAGAAACAATCTCATATTTGAGATATGAATTCCTTGATATCCTTTACCTCTCTAAAGTGATGTAGACGAGAAAAATATATTGGTCCGAAAAAGTCGGCTGATTCGGATCGATATATTTTTCTCGTCTACATCACTTTAGAGGGGTAAAGGATTATTGTTAACTATGATTTCATTTGGCGAGCCGGCTTTTACCGATATTTTAATGTTTATATATATATGTAATTATGAAAAATATTACTAATAGTATCAAAAATTAATTTTATTATATTGTAAAGAAAGTAGCAAAACAAATACATTAATAAAATAATTATCCCGTAATATAAAGATTTATTATATGTAAAAGCTAAAAATATAATTATTATTATTTTTATATGAATAATTATTTACATTACTTATTTATATTATTTATATTATTTATAATTATTAAATTTTTTCTTACAAGATATATATCAATTATAATTTTATCTAGTTTCAGAAATTTAAAATAAGAATATAAAGTAAAGATAATAGAAAATAAGAATAGAAAATAAGAATAGCTCAAATTAGGTATTATAGTTAATTATATGTATATAATAGATATACAAATAATTTAAATATATATAATTAAAATAAATAAATACCTATATAGTTAAAATAACAAATAAATAAATAATTATGCCTTACAATAAATAAAAAAAGGCTTATTATCAAAATGGTATAATTTTATGGGAAAAAAAAAACAACACAGAAACATTTTCAAAATATGGATTTGTTGAAAAATTAATGAGCTTCAAAACTCATATTTTTGTACTTAGAAGCAGATGCCCCTGAGCTATAATAAAATTTAAGACATTTTTCTTCATTTTTTTTCAACGTCATCTTTAACGTTCGCCATTTTGTATAGTATTTTTTATAATTCAATTTTAGTCTTTTGTGTTATTAAGAGAAATATTCAAGCTTTAATTGAAGCTTTGGTTTATCTCGATACGATGACTTTTTATTGAATTATCGCAATCCAAAGATGTCAAAAAATTGTACTAAAAAGAGGGTGTCAAATATGGCCTATTTTAATGGGTGAATACATTATTCCAAAATATAAATTATTTCGGTTTTGGGATAATTATATATATATATATATAATTATATATATATATTTCTTAAGTAAAAAATATAATAAATGTTATTATATATATATATATATATATAAATTGTGTTCAAATGTGATGGCCTATTTTTTATGGATGAGTGTATATATACATATACATATACAGGGTGTCCGGTAACTAACGGACCAATGATTAAAGGCGGATTCTCTGGTCAATTTGGAGACGATTTTTCCTTAGCAAAAGTGTTGAGAAGTCAATAATTTTCGAGTTATAAGCGATTGAAAAAAACGGGTTTTTTGAAAACTAAACGTTTTAGAGTTAAAAGTCTAACATAATTACATTCTTCAGTTAATTTCAGGTAGAGTTTACTATAATAAAATTTTAATTTGAGGCTTAGTTATAAAGATACATAATGACAAATATTGGAAAGTTGTAAAAAATGATGACCTTTTTCGACATTTTCGCTGAGGAAAAATCGTTCCCAAATTGACCAAAGAATCCACTTGTAATCATTGATCCGTTAGTTACCGGACACCCTGTGTATATATTATATATATACATATATATATATATATATATATATATATATATATATATATATATATACAGGATGTTAATTTTCAAACGTAACAGGTGGAATACATTGGGTAATATATATACAGGGTGTTAATTTTCAAACGTAACAGATGGAATACATTGGGTAAACAATGCATTGTAGAAAAAATGTTTTGTACAAAAGTTGAAGGGTTCCAAAGGGTACATAATATAGTAATATTAATATGACCTTGTATAGCACCATCAAGGACACAAAAATCACTTTGAATTTTTTAAATGGAACCCCCTATTTTTCATGACACATTCTTATAGCTTATCTCGAGAGCTTTCCAAAACACTATAATATAATTATTTTTTATTAAGGGGATCCTAAAGGGAATTGGCCAAACTCCGACGGATGCTTTGAGAAGTCAGTTGTTTTTTCCTTTTTTATCGACAAAATATGAGGTTAGATAAACTATAAATCTATTTATTGGCTATACGGATTGTTTTTTACCTGAAATTAGAATGCTTCGCCCTTTGTTAATATTAATTCTTTAATTTGTACAGGAAAAAAAATTTATCAATCTGTATAGTCTCATATTTCCTAATTAAAGAATTATGAATTCTAAGAATTATGAATACTAAGAATTCTGAATTCTGAATTACAATTCTGATGTCTGAATCTTGAATACAGAATTATAAATTCTAAGAATTCATAATTTTGTAAACAAGAAATATGAGACTATACAGATTGATAAATTTTTTTCCTGTACAAATTAAAGTATTAATATTAACAAAGGGCGAAGGCGTTCTAATTTCAGGTAAAAAACAATTCGTATAGCCAATAAATAGATTTATAGTTTATCTAACCTTATATTTTGTCGATAAGAAAGAAAAAAAAACAACTGACTTCTCAAAGCATCCGTCGGAGTTTGGTCAACCGAAAAGTACTCGGAAAGTACTTAATGAAAAATAACTTAATTATGTTAATAACTTAATTTGGAAAGCTCTCGAGGTAAGCTACAAGAATATATAATAAAAAATATGGGTTTCCGTTAAAAAAATTAATTCTTACCTCCACTTGGAGACGCCGCGCAAGGTTATATGAATATTACTATGTTATGTTCCCTCCGAAACCCTACAACTTTTGTAGAAAACATTTTTTTCCAAAATACATTATTTACGAGATATTCTACCTGTTACGTTTGAAATTTAACATTTTGTATATATGTATACGTATTAATAATGAACAAATCCATATATCTGATGGAACAAAAATGTCATATACATATAGGATAAAACACTTAACTTGACAAACTTGAATAACTCAAAAATAAACTTTAGAAAAAAAATGTTTATACAAGTTTTTTGACTTTGAGGGAAACATAGGATGGTATCATTGGTTTGACCTTAGATAGTCATTTAAAGATCACATGAAAAACACCTTTAATTTCTTAAATGGAAATTCCTATTTTTCAATATATATTCTTGTAAATTAAATGTGATAATCAAGCTCGTATCAAATGAAAATTAATACGATAAAAAAAGGCTTTTATACGAGCAAATATGGATGAATATGTATAATTACTGTATTTAAATATAAATTTTACAATAAATTCATGCAAGATGAAATTTATAGACTGTTATTATATGTAATTGTATTGAATTTAGCAATTGAGAAGTCACAAGTGACGAAATTTCTTGTATGAATTTATTGTAAAATTTATATTTAAATACAGTAATTATACATATTCATCCATATTTGCTCGTGTAAAAGCCTTTTTTTATTGTATTATATTCTTGTAGTTTATCTGAAGAGCTTTCCAAAATATGAAGTATTTTTCTCTTAAATACTTTTTGAATTATAAGGCTTGAAGTTTACAATTTTTTTATATAAAATGTAAAATATCTTATAAAATATTTAGTTTTCGACAATCTTACCCCAATACTTTTTTTATTAATTATTAAACGACTATCCAAAATCAAACCAATAATATCTTCTTCTTCTTATATTCCCCCCAAAGTCAGAAAGCTTTTGTATAAAACTTTTTTCTAAAATTATTTATATTCGAATTATTCAAGATTATCAAGTTAAGTGTCTCATCCTGTATACTTATAATTATATAATATTCTAATATAGTAATAATTTATTATATTATATATACCTATGAATCAGGAGTCCGATTAGGAAAGGTGCAGGTGGCAAAATAATTTTCTGTAAACATTGTAATGTTTGACGAATAAAAAGAAATCCCGTATGCTCGCGCGAACCCAACAGGTTGCTACCTTGATATATCGAAAATCCGAGTTCTGTTATTGTATTACCTATAAAAGAAAAACCCAACAAAGATAATTTATTGCAATATTGCAAGAATGCGAGAATATTATTGTTACAAATTTAAGACTCCTGGGTCGCCACGGCCATGTTAGATTGTGACGTCAAAAATGAGAAAAGACACGCTGAAAATTCTTAGATGCTATTTTTAAATAAAAAATATTTCGATGAAACATTACTTCAGATGGTTTTAGCACACTTTTAAAATATTTCGAAAACTATTTTTTTCCTTGATAGTTAATCAACAACCGTAAAATAATCGTAATATTAGTCTTTGTTATACGGAATGACTGCGTATGTGTAAAGACCAGACGGACTGGGCCTCATATCACAGTCATTTTTCAGTTGTGGATTGATTATAAAAGAAAAAGGATAGTTTTCGAGATATTTTAAAAGAGTGCTAAAGTCATCTGAAGTGCTGTTTTATCAAAATTTTTATCAAAGTTTTATCATAAATCGATCGATCGTGCGGATTGCCACACTCGGCTTCGCCTCGTGCGCCAAACTTCCGCATTCTCGGCCAATTTACGATCCCCCTGCACTTGTTAGCTAATATATTATTATTTCGAAATGGTATTTAAGAATTTTAGCGTATTTTCTCGCCTCTGACATCACAATTTCAAAATGGTGAAGAGCCAAGAACTTTAGTAAAAGAAGATGTTAAAAATAAGCTATTTTTGGTCAAAAGCGGAACTTAAATCAATCATTAGAAACTGTTTTTGAGATTTTCTAGAAACAGAAAATAACAATTATTTGTTCACCAGGTCTGGGAAAAGTTATGAAAATTAAGATTCATTATCGATTATTGAAACAAACATATAAAGATTTAAGCGAAATGAATAAAATCCATTTCTTACAGCTACGACGTACGTTCTACGGCGGACGCGCAGTCAGAATTAAAAACATAGAATTTTTTCGTGATTGTGTATACGCGTCCGCCGTAGAACACATAAAATCCGTAGGAAATAGATTTTATTCATTTCGCTTATGGTCTTTACAACCTTATGCTACGGCCATTGTAGACGACCCTTTATATCCTTGATATATGTATATTCAAAATAAAATAAATTGTATACTTATATGTATATTAATAAAAATAAATAGAAAATTTAATGTTTTGATTTACATAATTTACATATACAGAATGTGTCAAAAGTCTGGAAATGATTGAATATTTCACAAATTATGCATTTTAGAAAAAATGTTTCAAATAAAAGTTGTAGCGCTTAAAAATATCTATCTATTAATCTTATCAGTTTGACCATAGATAATGATGCCGATGTCAGAGCAAGATCATCTTAAATTTTTTAAATAAAATTACATTTTTTTATATAAATCGATTCCTCGCAATATTCTGCATAAAAACTTATATAGGTAAAATGGTCAAAACGTGAATATTTTATGAGATATTTGATACTTTAGTTTTACATAATCTTACATAAATTATGAAATATCTTGTAAAATATTCACTTTTTGACCATTTTACTCTTATAACTTTTTATGCAGAATATTACATCGATTAATATAAAAAATGTAGTGATTTTATTTCAAAAATTCAAGATGATCTTGCCCTGACCTTGGCATCGCAAATTATGATCAAAACTGATTAGACTAATAAATAGATATTTTTAAGCGCTACAACTTTTGTTTGAAATATTTTGTTCTATAATGCATAGTTTATGAAATATTCAATCATTTCCAGACTTTTGGCACATCCTGTATGTGTAATGAAAATTATGTAAATAAAGACATTAAATTTTCTACACATACTTCTTATTAAGACATTAAAAATTCTCTACACATATTACTTATTTTTTAATATATAAGCGTGAATAATATATAATTAAAGTTAATATATAACTGATTTTATTTTGAAGATATATCAAGAATATAAAGCTTCACAATCTTTATATGACTTTCAATAATTGATAATAAATCTTGATTTTCATAACTTTCCCCGGACCTTGTGGACAAATCATTGTTCTTTTCTACTTCTAGAAGATTCCAAAAACAGTTTTCAATGGTTAATTTACGTTCCGCGTTTGGGCCAAAAATAGCTTATTTTTAACATCCTCTTTTATATGTATTATTCATATAATTGATAAGATATGTAGATAACATATAAGATATGCTAAATTACCTTTAATAGCTTCGAGATATAGTTGATTGATATATGTGAGAAGATCCCTTGGAATTCGTGTTTCATCCGGTAATATCTCAATTAATAAAATTACTTCGTCCTGGCCGACGCAAGCAAGACCTCTCGATGTCACGTTCCAGCAGATCTTATTTACACAGCAATTTACTAAAAAAAATTATGAATTTAAAATCTACTAAAATAAAACGAATGAAGAGAGTATTGGAAAAATATTTCTATTTACTTACAATTAATTATTTTCACATACACATATAGATTTCGATTGATCGCAAACATTACAGGTGATTCGCATTCATTTTTGAGCGTCTTATAAAGCGCGCTCTCATCCATGGGGGGGTGGTACGTAATTTCTATTTATAATGAGAAAAAAAGAAAACAAATGTTAAATATATATTATTGTGCAATTAAAAATTAATCATACAATGTACAACATCCTTACGGCCTTTGTGTATAGTGACGATTGGAGGCAATAAATTAGGATCATGCGGTATATAACTGTTAGTTATATTGTCTAGAAGAGGATGACTTTGTTTCCTCGCGGTGGTCTCCGTCAACGTAGATCCCGATGCAAAAATCCGTTTATTTCCTTGCTTACGATACGACGGCTTCGGATCCCAACACGTGTCTAGCTCTGTCAGGTCACAGCCAGGCCTTATTCCTGTGTTTTAGTTATAGGTGCGTAAAAATAAAACAAACAAGGAAGGGGTTGGAGACTGACAACGTGATGACACGTTCCAGAGAGGCGAAAATAAATAACTAATAACTTTGTATCCGGATGTATTGGATGGAGGAATAATAAACAAAACAAAACTAAAAATATATATTGCAGGAAAAGTTGATATGTATGTTTTAAAATAATTGTGTAATAGTAACAATTTACATTATATACAGGATGTCCAATAATAACTCTACATCATATCGAAGGAGGAAAATATACCGCTATTTTTACTTTTTCCCAGAGGAAATACCTTTATATCATTTTTTCCCAGAGAACGCTTTTTTTTAAAGGTTTCAAAGTTATTTAAAGGTCATTTGTTTTTTTTTAATGGGAACGTATAGTTTTAATTTCATAAATGGATTCTTCGTGAAAAAATAAGAAATATTTTTGCAAAAATTTGTAAAACTCAATATTTTTTATGATATAAGTATAAAGGGATGCCGGAGGTATGTTTTTACCGACCGAATGCGAATATTGATTATTTTGGAATATCTTTTTATTGATTATTCAGATCAATAAATCCTTTTCCACGATTAAAGTACTTATAAAAACGGACCGCGCTAGCTATAATTCCATATATAAATCATATAAAAATGAAAAATTACAGTTTTGTTATCGGCCGCGCAATAGGGATAACATGAAAGAATATTAATGAACAATTAGAAGTGAGATTACAAATTAATAAAAACGTTATATATTAATAAATTTTCGCGCATATGTGTGTGTATGCATGTGTATACGTGCATATGTGCGGTTACGTGTGGTGCTAATCTATCAGAGTTCGGCCGTCAGTCCAGGACCCTAAACGATTAGCCGAACTCCGATGAATACTTTGAGAAGTCAGTTGCTTTTTTCCTTTTTATCGACAAAATATGAGATTAGATAAACTATAAATCTATTTATTGGCTATACGGATTGTTTTTTATCTGAAATTAGAACGCTTCGCCCTTTGTTAATATTAATACTTTAATTTGTACAGGAAAAAGATTTATCAATTTGTATAATCTCATATTTCTTGATTACAGAATTAGAATTCTAATTCTGTAATCAAGCGATATCAGATTATACAGATTATTCAAATAAAAAACAATAGCCAATCCGTATATAGCCAATAAATAGATTTATAGTTTATCTAACCTCATATTTTGTCGATAAAAAAGGAAAAAAACAAAAGACTTCTCAAAGCATCCGTCGGAGTTCGGCCAACCGTTTAGGATCCCCTTAGTTACTCCAATTAAAAAAACAAATGACCTTCAAATAACTTTAAAAAGCGCCCTCTGAGAAAAAGCCAGTAGCGCCATCTTTTTTCCCTCGAAATCCTACAACTTTTGTTTCATCCTGTATATATAAAATACCTAATATATTAGACATGACATAAAAGTTACTATGCATCCATAATTTGTTTTTGTAATTGTAGTCAATAGTGTGTAAGTATAATTTATATATACTAAACAATTTAAATTATATATAGGATGTCCGGTGACTCGCGTTTAACACGTTAATGAAAAATTTCTGAGGCGATTTAAAGACGATTTTTCCCCGGCGAAAATGTCCAGATACCAATAATTTTTAAATTATAAATGATTGAAAATAAAAGCTTTTTTGTAAACTAAGCCTTATAAAAATAAATGATTAACAAAACTACATTTTTTAGTTAATTTTAGGTAAAGTTTAATAGAATTTTGTAATAGAACTGTAATAGAATTTTAATTTAAGGCTTAGTTACATAGATACATGATTTCAAAAATTGGGAACAAATTAAAAAAATGATGACCTTTCTCATCATTTTCGCTGAGGAAAAATCGTTTCCAAATCGCCTCAGGAATCTCATTAATGTGTAAAACGCCAGTCACTGGACATCCGGTGTATATATACATATATATATATATATTGTATTAATACAGAATAGCATTATTTTTAAATTATACAACGTATAATAGTGACAAAAGAATTGAAAACATTTAATAATATAAACAACATGTACATACCATCACTAAACATTACAGATTTTTGTCCTTCTGTACGATGTTTTGAACCTTCTCTTTTTAAAACGCCCACAGGTACCATCACTGTTGGTGGTGGTGGTAAACCGCCAGCTAACTGTTGCAAGGGTGGTATAGTTGAGCAATACTCCATGGGATTATTTGGATTAGGTTGTCTCCCCTATAATCATTTGTTGAATACTTCTAACATCAACATTTGTCCAATTATTCAGCAAACACATTTGTAAATATGAGACTGACGCGAATATACTTCAATTCCCTCTAATCTTCAATTGGTCACGTATAAAGTAATAGGTATTTTTTTAACATTTTGTATATAAGATCGTACTTCTTAAAGAAAACTAAATTCGCCGAACACTTATGATACTTCTTCCAGTTGAGCCTCCCTTATAGAGGGAAGTATGTGTGTTTGTATCACATTTTTAACCAAATCAATTTTTGGAAAACGTGTATAGTAATTTTGCACCATACCGTAGAATTTGTCATAAAATATTTTACAATTTGCTATTAACAGAAATTTAAAAATTCTCATAATTGGACGAAATAAAGGAAGATTTCGATAAAAATTTTAACTTTTTAAAATTTGAAGTACACAGGCATAAAGTGCATAAAAGACCGAGTTACTTTTGTTTCCAACATTTTTTTATATCTCTTTTTGTTTAGATGATATTCCCTTGGAAAGAAAAAATCCGTTTTCTTCATAAGGGTGAATCATCCCCTAAACCTTCGATTGGGCATGTACAAAAAAATACGTGTACTTTAAATTTGTATACTTTATATTGTAACATATTTCAAGGAAAATCAAATCGGCGTCGGACACTTGTGATAGTTCCCTTGTTAGGCCTTTCTTATTTGTAGTTATTATTTAATATTACAGAGCCTTGATATACTTTGTTGTGTATATTTCATAAGTTCAAGAATTTAAAAAACATAAATCACTTTCAAATGACTGAAAAGCGCCCTTTGGGAAAAAGCTAATGCCGTCTCCCCCCCACCCCCACCCTCTATAAAATGTAATATTATATTTATGAATTTATAATTGTAGCTAATATGACACATGTGAGTTTTTGTATACTAAACAATCGAATGTTTATACATATACTTAATATAAAATATAAAAATTATTAAAGATCTCGGGTTCGTTTCCCGATTCAGCGACTTTCGAATCTATATTTTTCTTTCGAGTTTATTTCTTTAGGAGGGTATAGGGATTTATGAAATTAAATCTCAAGTATGAGATACTATTATGTTATAAAGTTTTGGTAGTACACCAAGAATAATATGTGCCTGTGTGCACATTTCGTTTATTTCCAACGAAAAATTAATTTTTGTTGAAAATGTATGCAAGGAACATCCGCGTATAGCTCTTAGGCCTTTCTTATTTGTAGTTATTATAAAAATTATTCTTTTGAAAACTATTTTACAATAATATTAGTAAAAAAGTGTACATAGTAATACCTTAAAAAAGTTTTATTTAAGAAATTGATATTATCCATGACGTATCATATCATCTGTAACATAATATTTATCAAAACACAAAGATTTATTTTAAAATCCGACCACACTGGCAATGCTTTATTCAATCCTTAACACGACGTTTCGACCATGGGTTTTGGTCCTTATTAAGTGTACTACATAAACACAATATCGACAATAATTAGCACAATCAATTAAAAATGTTTTACAGAAATTAATAAATTAATACAATATAAACAATAGTTAACGCAATCAATTGAGTTTTTCAAAAACAATAATTTATCGCTTCTAAAAATTACAAAAATTATTAACATTTTACTAAATTTACTGCGTAATTGTAATGCTTCATATATAGGTCAGATAAAAAGACATTTAGGCACCCGCGTGAAAGAACATTTTAACAATATAAAAATGCATACCAGCAATCTTTCAGTAATTAGTAAACATAAACTTGATTGCGGACATGATTTTAAATGGTCTGCTCCTTAAGTATTACATAAAGAAAAGAACGTTAGGAAAAGAGAAATTGCTGAAATGTTCTTTATTAAAAAGTTTGACAACACGCTGAATTTACATAAGGACACTGAAAATTTAAATAATAATTATGACAAAATAATAAAAGTCGCTTAGTTTGTTCTCAGCCTCTTATGAGTAATGACGATGTGTTTAACAGAAAAGTTTTTTCGTTTTATCTTGTTTTACAAAGTATCGGCCGTTTTTGACAACTAACGGAATTTAGGTAAATAGTTTACAATTTTGTGTATTTAGAATTGATAAATTATTGATTTCCGTAAATTTAGTAAAATGTTAATAATTTTTGTAATTTTTAGAAGCGATAAATTATTGTTTTCTGAAAAACTCAATTGATTGCGTTAACTATTGTTTATATTGTATTAATTTATTAATTTCTGTAAAACATTTTTAATTGATTGTGCTAATTATTGTCGATATTGTGTTTATGTAGTACACTTAATAAGGACCAAAACCCATGGTCGAAACGTCGCGTTAAGGATTGAATAAAGCATTGCCAGTGTTGTCGGATTTTAAAATAAACCTTTGTGTTTTGATTTTATCTACTGGCGACTTCATCAAATTTAAATTATAATATTTATCATTAAAAGATAGATAAAAGAGAATCGCGGTAAGTTTAAAAAAATTGATGCAAATATTTTAAATTTTAACTTTAGCTATTTATAAATGTTATTTCTTCTTTAATATTCATTACAATACATTACAATCAGACTTTATTATTGCAAATTAGATTTAATTATATACATTTTAATAATCAATAAATATTTTCTAGGAAGAAGAGACAAGTAAATATTGTGTCATGCAATTAATTACTAAATAAAAAATTTCTGAAATAACAAAAGATTCTTATGAACATCAAAAATTTTATTCAATATAATCAAATCATGTAACATTGCATCTATATGTTTCTTTCTGGAAAATATTTATGATTTATGTGTTTGCTAAACTTTAGATATAATTGCAATATAAAGAAAATTATATTTTATCACATAATAATTCTAATAAAACATATTTTATACTCTTATAATGACATGCATACTCTACTAAAAATTAAAGAAGTCATAAAAAGCATTACATGCTTGTAATATATGCATTTCTTACATACAAAATATACGTTGCGAAATATACATGATATAAAAAATACTTGATTCAAAACATATGTAGTTTACAAAATTTATGGAGTTTGCAAAGATATTTTTTAAACATATAATCATTAAAAATTTCTTTTTTCTCTATTTGAAAAAAAGGAAAGTTTATTTACATAAAGTTTAATTTAATCTCTTGATATATTACAAAATCTTGTTATTGCAAATACCTTGATATTACGAATCTTGCTATTATAATATTTTGATATTAGAAATATCAATAGAAAATTATTCAAAATGTTTATTAATAATTAAACAATATTAGAAGAGCGTTTATTAATTTTTTTCTCTCTTGCTCTTTCTTTATATTTGCAATTTATTATAATTACTTGCAATATTTGATATCTTCAAAATGAATTTTATTTTTTATGATATATTAATATATAAATACATACATATATACTATATATATATATATATATATATATATATATCTTTATTTGTATATCTATATATCTATATAAATTTAAGATACTATCTCTAATCCAATATAAATATACATTCTAAAGTCATCTTTGTTGTGTTACAACAAAAATATTATAATATAATATTAATTCATATCTATATATTAACAGTTTACTATAAAAACAAATATGAAACATTTTAATTTAATCTCCTTGTTTGTGATATACAGGATGGCCCACATAACTCTTAACAACTGAATATTTCGGAAACTATTTGTCAAATCGAAAAGTTGTTCAGGAAAAAGTTTTATGTATCCCCCCCCCCCCCCCCCCCCCATAAAGGGGGGCAGAGGGTAACTTTACAATTTTAAACGGGACCCCCTATAAAATGTTAGATGGTTGGATTCTACGAGAAAAACAAGTAAATTTTGTTAAAAACATTTTTTGTCAGATGTTTCTATTAAAAGACATGACATTGTAAAGTTTCGAAGTTATAGGAAACGTAAGCATCGCGTATTCTTGTCTTTCGTCGGTGATTTAAACATTTAAACATAAACATTTATGCATTTATTGAGGTCAATTTAATATGAAAATCTTGTAAATTGTATGTTCAATTTATTAAATGTTTAAAATGTCCGCCATAAACTTGTAAACATGTATTTATTCGCAGCAACAAATTATTCCTAATATTTTTAACATTTCGGAAGTCACTGAAGCGCAAGCGTCGCGTATCCTTGTCTTTCGTCGATAATTCAAACATAAACATTTATACATTTATTGAGGTCAATTTAACATGAAAATCTTGTAAATTGTATGTTACTATTCAAACAGTTAGCACCGTGAAAATCATAGCTATCATTATGTTTGATACGGAAGTGAATATGTTATTAGTATTAGGTAAATGCCAAAAGAATTATTGTGGCGTGCAGCAGTAATGTTTTTTGAACGTTATGTAATTAAAAAATCGCACTGTCATTTTTTAATGTAGTAAAGCGACTTCATGAATATAGTAAATTGCGTATAATGACTCACAATAAACAAAAGTATTACTAATGAGAGAAACAGTGCTGATGTTCTTGGTCCAGTGACATTTTGAACATTTAATAAATTGAACATATAATTTACAAGATTTTTGTGTTGCCCCCTTTTTGGAGGGCAGGGGGTAACTTCATATTTATGTAATTAGAAAGGCCCCTCGAATACATAAAACTTTTTCCTAAACAACTTTTCGATTATATATATATATATATAAAGACAAATTATTCATACAATAAAGCATAAAACTTGAAAAAACAGAAGTATTCAACAAATTCTTATAGGTATCTGATCAGACATATTAATATTTGTATAATGCTTAAAAATTAATATCCAATTTTATTGGGTAAAATCTATATGTAAAATGATAAAAATAATTTATGAGTTTAAATATGTAACTTGTTTCATTTTCTTAAATTTCTTAAATAATCAAACACTTTCAAAAAAGATATATTGCAGCTACTCTATTTTATTTATAATCATTAACAAAAAGATTATCTTAAATAAATAACATACCTGCAAAGAATTGGCATCACTAGAATCAGCATATGAATTATAATTAGTTGGCCAATTATAATTTGTTCCCTGCTCGTTCTCAGCTGAAAATGCAGATATAAATAATGCATAAAAATTTTGTATATATATATACACCTATATATATATTAACAAAAGATTGTTTCTATTTACCTTTCGTGAGTAAATGATAACACGGAACACAAACGCGAGAATCGATGTTTCCTTGATATTCCAATCTGTATTTCATATTGCAACATTTGTTACATAATACCTGAAATGTATCGTAGATAAACACTTGATTGTTATAAAAAGCGAAAATTGCAGACTTAAAAACCCAATTAATAGAAATATAAATAATATTATTTAGTATTTCAGTTCGAACAGTAAAATAAATACATGCCAAACTGATTTTCTTTGAATTTTACGTACTTTACCACAAGCCCGACAGTGGTGACGTCTTTTAAGTACAGTAAACTTAATATCACATAACATACAACTAGGTGCATCGCTATCTGGAACCCAAACGGTGGTTGCTTTCCCAATATGGTATTATTACATTCGACTAATGAATTATCAGAAACATCTGATGAAGCACCCCGATCTTCATCAATAATGCCTCCTGTGGTTTCTGAATGTTCCACTTCAACTGGTGTAGTGCTTAAAGATCCTGTTACACAATATTATTCTTTATCTATATATTTTGTTATACAATTAAAAATAAAGTTTTGTGGTTGATTGAAAATTAAACACCCTGCATATTTTATTTAAATATTTATACGTGTCCTATTTTAATTAATATAGTCGAATATCTTTTAACTGTGACTGTGTAATAAAATGTTTCATACAAAATACTTTCTACAAAAATGGTTTCGAGGAGAAAAAAATGGATAACCTTGTGGAATTTTTACTAAGATCATTTTTCAAGATTATTTGTGAAGATCAATTTTGTTTCTTTTTTTAATAAATAAAATTATATATATGCTAATATTTTTAAATCAATTCCTCGCAATATTTAGCATAAAATGATAAAAATAGAATAGCCAAAAAAAAAGCTTAAGAAAAATTTTGTATTTAAAAATTAGACATACATAATTTTATATTAAACCATAAAATATCTCGTGTGTAAACTATTCATTTTTGACTATCTTAGTCTTGTAACTTTTTATGCCAATCTTGCGAGAAATTGATTTATATAAAAAAAATTAGAGTGATTTCATTTAAAAATTATTAACTTGAAAAATGATCTCAGTTCCAGATTATCAACTTTTTCTCTTGAAACCTTTTAACTTTTATATGAAATATTTTTCGTTACATAGCCATAGTTTTAGAGATATTCGATTATATTATGAAATACCATAAAATGAGATATCATACATATATATGTAAATATCTTTGACTCTATTATATGATTATGCACCAATCTAATAAAAATAAAAATATTAAAAATTATAATGATATAATAAATAACACATTTAAAGAGAGTAAAAATAAAATTCTTTTCGCAACGTACCAAGAATATGGCTATCGTTTTTATGCGTCGAAACAATATCCAATGTCTGAGGACGAGTTGGTTTCTCGGTTTCCTGATTATTTTCATTTGTATAAGAGATTGTACAAGCATCAATTTCCATTTTAGAGATTAAATTACTATCGTGTATCCTGTTATCATGTAATGTAATATCTTTACTATCTTCAGTAATATCTTGGTAGTATACTTTTTCATTATAATCTTTATTTTCCAATACATTTCTTACAGCATCATTATTGTTATCTTGTAATCGCGTATCTGTATTATCTTGTTGTAATTCCTGTGTCACATTAATATTGCAATCCTGTTCTCTAACATTTTCAAAGTTTGATGTTACTTTCACATCAGCAGCAACATTTGATACGGCCTGTGAGATATCCTCCGATGTGATTATATCTTGATCAATTACATCCTTAGCTTTTATCATTTTATCCAGCTTATTAGTTTGTTTGTCAGAACTATTTTTTCACTTAAAACAATTTTTATTGTATCATTACAATCTACATCCCTTATATTTTTATTATGTGCATCCATATAATCATTTATGGGAAGTTTTGTACTTTCTCTTGAATGCCTTCTTCATCAGATATTTTTGGAAGTTCACCAATCATAATCCTCTCAAGTATTGGTACTTCATTAACATTATCTCGATAACTCACAGTGTTTTCTTTACTATCTTTTATTTCATCATATGTCTTTAATGACCAAATATCATCCATATGTGATGATATACCTTCCATCTTAGATTGTTCTTCCTTTTCTAACTCTAACAAATATTGATTTAAATTTTCTTCAGAAAAATCATCACTAGTATCAGTTGTATGCATCATACATATATTAGATAAAATATTGCTACTCTTAACCGTTTTCACATTTTCATTCAGATCTTCATTCTTCAATGTACTCGTATCTAATTTTGTGTTATTTTTTACTACAAAATTGCTTCTCTTATTTTCAATAAATATACATTTATCAATAAGATTCTGATCCTTTAGATCTAAATGCTTTTGGTCATCAACAGTATTTTCATAAATATTTTTAAACGTGCCATCAGTGACCAAAGGTTTTTCATTAACATCAGTTTTAAATATTTCTGTACCTGCAGTAACATTATCATGTTTGTTCTTTGAAATAGTTGCGCTTGATGCAAAGATTACAGCATTGCTATTACTTTTTCAGATTGCATCAGAGTAGAGTGTTGAGACACATTCTGCATCACATTATCCTGTTTGTTATCAGTTTCAACTTTGACATACGTACTTGCTTCCATTGGCAAGATATTTTTGTAATCCAAGACATTTTCATCAGTTATATCCATTAAGTCTTTTTTCTTTGGAATTAAACATTTATTAGTTGCTACATCTTTACTCAATATAAAATCTTCTGCTGTATTATCTACAGATATTTTAGGTAGATCATCTAACACAGGTTGAACATAACTTAAACTTCCAGTAGGAGCATTAATATATTCATTTAAACTATTAAACACATTGCTAATACTAGGCTTGAAACTTGGTTGATTCAACTTTTTGTCGTATCTATCTTTTGTATCATTACTTCCATTCTGTTGTTTCTGCATTAAGTTATACGAAATGTCATTATATATTGTCATTTGATCAGAAGCATGTGTATGAACACATTTCTGTCCCGATTTGTCACTAACACAATCATGTGTGTAAAAATTGTTTACAGAATCCTTGCTATCAGATACTGACACTACAGCCTTTTCGGTTAATGAATATCCACAATCGACATCTATCTCTCTGTGTTTTTCAAAAGATGGTATTGCATCAATCGCTATACTTTTCCCAGAATTAATATTATAATGTATTTTTGAAGGCACGGATTCAATGGCATGTCTAACATCTGTAGCAGATGCATCGATTGTAGAAGTTGCTACTGATGCCACTTGTTCTGCGCAATCTACAAATAATACATTTACATTACTATTATATACAAAATGCGCAACACATTTTTTATCTGTGTCTAACTTGACAATAATTTTATGTAATATAAAAATTCTATTTCCTTTAAATGTTAAAGGAATCTAGATAATTAATAAAACAAAATATCTATATAAAATTAGTATGACGATAGTGAAGAATAATTAACACAGTCTCTAACAATACTTAGATCTAGAAAAAAAAGTAAAATTGACTTTTTTTACCTTCGTTGAATTCAAAATCGTTCAGAACTTTGTCCAAGTCAATCACAAACTTCTCCATAATGCCACGATACATCGATCGCGTTTCTTTTACTGCATACAAATTTATTATATAGCAGTTCTACACGTATCTAATATCCGTAACTGTAGATGGAATTCGAATAATATTAACAATTTCCATAATTAAAAATATGGTTTTTTAATTTGACATATAACGCCCACTTAATGCAATCAATATTTACGTTTCAGTATACCATATTTTAACACCCATGGATTAAAAAGAAAATATCCCACACACTGTACACTTCAACACTTTTAAACAAAAAATAAATTGTATCAATATTATGCATGAGATGTGTGTGTATATAACATTATTACATTCACAATTTCATTAACAATTGCTAAATGTTATAACGACCATTGAAGCATGACTTTCGTCGTAAAGTCTAACACATTTCGAATTCGGAATTATTTTGAAATGTTATTTCACATAATTTAAAGCGATATAAATCTTATTACATATGCTTTTACATGACAAAATCATCATCTTATGCGAATAAGATTGAATAGAATAGATAGAGTATTTGCGTCGTGGTGTGCGTCTGATTGATGTGGTTTGATGGTATGTGTATACTGAATATGTGTGTGTGGCTACGTGTATGTATGCTATACAGAATATATATGTATGTAAGTGATGTAAGTATGCGATATATACATTGAACCATAGACTAGAAAAATTTTAGATGGAGCTTTTCAGTAGTCACAGATAAGCACAGTATAAGCAAAGAATATATATAGACGAGTATAGAGCGGTATTTATGGTCCGTTCTTATATTTAAGATCGTCTTAAGGGTCGACAGGCGACATGGTGAAGACGCCTATCGGCCGGCCGGGAATTACGGATTCGTTCATCCCATATATTAGCCAAAATACTTAATGAATCTTATTAAATTTACGATATTCTTAATCAGTAGGATTGTCCGCAGGGAGACAAAGATCGATTTTTTGGAAAAAAGATAAATATAAAATTCATAATATAACTTGGGCACAGATTAATAGACAGATCGCCAAAGGCCTGCCTAAAGAAGAGACCGCCATCTTCGTGCGATAGACTTTGCCCCTTACCGACACACTTTGCCCCTGGTTCGAGTCCGTGCTAAATTCGTAGACTTGAACCAAAAGACTTTGCCCCTGGTTCGAGTCCGTGCTAAATTTCGTAGACTCGACCAAAAGACTTTGCCCCTGGTGCAAGTCCAGGCTAAATTCGTTTGACATTACCAACAGACTTTGCCCCTGGTGCGAATCCAGGCTAATTGATCATGAGACCAATTTGAGAGATTTGGCCCCCGTTGTGTGTGTGTGTGTGTGTGTGTGTGTGTGTGTGTGAGAGAGAGAGAGAGAGAGAGAGAGAGAATATTTTACATATATGCATATATATATAAAATTTATTAAATATAAAAAATATATTTTTTACACATAAAATGTTTTTTTATTGAAATAATCACGATTTTAAATGTGATATAACACAGTGTTCAAAAATTTTTTAATTAAATTTTTTAATTAAATTTTATTAAAGAAAATTACTTGAAATTTTTTACATTAAGAATTTAAAGGCTCCTTATTCTCTTGTAGAAATTTATCACTACGCCAATTAATCACTTATTTTGAGTATTTAAAATACTATAATATACAGTAATTTAAGTATTCGAAATAAAAGTGATTAATTACTCGAAATAAGTGATAAATTGGCGTTACTAGTAATAAATTTCTATAAGGGTTGAAATAAAGTATAAGAGATAAATAGGCTATATGTGAGCCGTATGCGAAATGTGAGATGTAAGACGCATATTGAAATTTAATTTTTCGATATAACTTTCAAAAATGTACACGAGGTACAAAAAATTAGCTTGGACATTTGTAAGACTTAAAATTGGGATTAATTCTCAATTCTATTAATTAAATTTCGATATAACACACCTTACATCCGCGCACGGCTCACATATATATAGCCCATTTATTAGTGCAATTTTTAAGTTCCTTATTTTTCAAAGTTCACCTTTTTACGTTATCAAATATTTTTACGTTTTCAAGAATTTTATATTTTTACTTACCGCAGTTTCTTATCCAAATGTAAAATCTTTTATCGCAGTCTATAAAAAATTGAAACAATTTACAATTTTATGATATAATATTATTATTATTACAATTTCTATATATATGCACATCTGTCAAATATCGTGATTTATTTCACATTATTATTATCTATTTTAATAAAAAAAAACAAAAACACTTGCAACAATCAAAAATAAACCGCCTGCCGCGAACGGAAAATGCCAAGAAAGCACGCAATTTCCGCGAATCTCGTAATTTTTTTGAAAAATCAACAATTTCAACGAAATTGTAAATTCTTCAAATCACTGCACAAGTATAATTCACAATAATAATTTTCAGTAACTACGATAAAAAATCGTATACTGAAAACCGCAAACGAAAGTGCAATGGGAGTAAGAGTAAAGTCTGTGATAAAATTAATTGGCAATAGAAAATTAATAATTTTCAAATAGAAAAATTTTGAAATTACCGAGGATTTACAAATAATAAAGTAAAAATATTAAATAATTTATGTTTTCGAATTTTGCTCGCGGAGAGGATCTTTAAAACAAGATTTTTAGAAGAGAGGACCTTTAAAATATAAACAGGCAAAAACGTTGGAAAAATTAAAGCGCGCGTTTAAACAGATAAACGCAATGAAATAAATACGCAATTGTTTTTACTTATCGCTGTAAGCTCACAAGCTTCTGACGTGCTATACACTTTTATATAATATATACAAGGTGTCCGGTAACTAACGGACCAATGATTAAGGGCGGATTCTCTGGCCAATTTGGAGACGATTTTTCCTTAGCAAAAATGTTGAGAAGTCAATAATTTTCGAGTTATAAGCGATTAAAAAAAATAGGTTTTTTGAAAACTAAACGTTTTGGAGTTAAAAGTCTAACATAATTACATTCTTCAGTTAATTTCAGGTAGAGTTTACTATAATAAAATTTTAATTTAAGGCTTAGTTATAAAGATACATAATGACAAAGATTGGAAAGTTGTAAAAAATGATGACCTTTTTCGACATTTTCGCTGAGGAAAAATCGTTCCCAAATTGACCAAAGAATCCATTTGTAATCATTGGTCTGTTAGTTACCGGACACCCTGTATATTGGACACGAGTTTCGTTTGTTTCAGATTCTCGAGAGTTGAAGTAGGAACATACGAGTATCATATATCGTTTGTGACTTGCCGAATGAAAGCAAGACAGAGAGCGAACGAGATGATGAGCTTAATAGCTCATAATGTTATAAATAAATAAATAAAAAATTATAACCTGACCTACTAGTTATTGAATCTTTTTTTAATAAAATGTTTCATTATTATTATCATCTAAGTCTAAGTCGTTTAATTACTTTTTAGTTTTTTAATAATTAATTTAATTTATTCTAGTCATTTTTATATGAGAAAAATAATATCACGTATACGTTTTATAATGAATTAATATATTTCGGGAATCGAATTATATATTCTTAATAATATAAAAGTGTTCAAAAATTATATTTGACTTTTAATTTTAATTATTTTATAGCAAAGAGTTCCGAAATCTCTTACACACATAATGGGGATTTTTTTCATCCATATAATTCGCAATTAAGTATATATGTTAATTATTAATTTTAATAAAATAAAAATTAAAATTAAAGGTCAAATATAATTTTTAAACACAAATATATTAAATTAATTATAAAACGTATACCCATGATAGTATTTTTCTCGTACAAAAATAATTAGAGTAAATTAAATTAATCATAAAAGATTAAAAATTAATTAAAGAATTTAAACTTATATTTTATATAATAATAATAAAACATTTTATTACGTCAAACCGTCGTGAAATAATTAAATAAAATTTGCTAGTTACGTCAAAGTCAAGTTTTCTAAGCTTATAAAACATTTTATTAAAAAACAGATTCAATAAATATAAGTACATGTTATATATATACTTATATTTATTGAATCTGTTTTTTTTATAAAATGTTTTATTATTATCATATAAATATAAATTATTTAATTATTTTTTAATTTTTTTATGAGTAATTTAATTTGTTCTAGTTATTTTTGTACGAGAAAAATACTATCACGGGTATACGTTTTATAACGAATTAAATATATTTATGTTCAAAAATTATATTTGACCTTTAATTTTAATTTTGTATTTTATTAAAATTAATAATTAACATATATACTTAATTGCGAATTATATGGATGAACAAAATCTCTATTATGTGTGTAAGAGATTTCGGAACTCTTTGCTAAAATAATTAAAATTAAAAGTCAAATATAATTTTTGAACACTTTTATATTATTAAAAATATATAATTCGACTCTCGAAATATATTAATTCATTATAAAACGTATACGTATTAGTATTTTTCACATATTAAAATGATTAGAATAAATTAAATTAATTATTAAAAAACTAAAAATTAATTAAACGACTTAGACTTAGATGATAATAATAATGAAACATTTATTAAAAATAATTATAATAGGTCAGGTTAATATTTTATTTATTTATTTATTTATAACATCATAAAATTCTGTCCTTTCCGAAATACGCGAACGCTACGAAAAGATAAATCTCGTACATGCCGCCGGACGAGTTCATGAGCATGAGACGCTCTTATCTTGGGAACGTATTAATAGTTACTGCATTGACTACTACTACGATATGGCGCTGAAATCAGTGAGAAATGCTGGTCTCTCCTTCATCCAGACCTTTGGCGATCTGTCTATTAATCTGTGACTTGGGGAGATGCGCAGCTAGCAGCGGGTAAGGTTGGGTTAGCCACGAGATCGTATTTAATTTATTATAAATTTTTAAGAGCAATAATGCAAAATTTGACTCTTTGTCTCCCTGCTTTATTATATAAAGAATATATTAAAAAATATTTCACGAAGCTACGTAACTTCTTTTTATGTAATATTTGGGATGAACAAATCTCACTAGATCTATACTCATGGGGAAATTTTCGTGGTAACATACTGACAGCTTGACAAGGAGAGAGTATCATTCTATCTTTGTCTCTCTTGCATTTGATATGTGTAAAATCAGTATAAATACAAAAACCAATATATTACGCACACGAATGAGAAATATTTTACATCTGCTCATTATATATAAAAATATAAAAGTAATGCAAATTAAATTTCACATTTATTTATAATAGTATTGTGAGGTAGTAACACATATGGAAATCTTATAAGATAAATGCTGTACATCGATTAGCGTAATATTATGATTACAAGTCGCAATAAATGATTTTGCTAATATATTATTTTGAATAAAAATTTTATAAAAACAAATAAAAATAAAATGAATAAATTTTATTCATTCTTTGTTTTTTTCTATTATTTTTTCTATTATTTGAATAAAAGGCGTATCGTATGTAATAGATAAATAATAATTTATATATATGTATATATTGAAATTAATATATATATATATATATATATATATATATATATATATAAATTTCAAAACGTATAATTATATATTTATATAAATTATCTATCTATTTAATCTATTACACATGATACATCTT